CAATGCAGGGAGAAAGACTATCTTTTCATTAAGTGGTATGGAGTCAATTTAATATTCATATAAGACAATAAATCCCTATTCCTACCACACTTCATAGCATACACAAAATTTAATTCCAGATGAGTGACGGATCTCAACATGAAAGGTAAGATCATAAAACTCTAGGAAAACACAGGATGTTATCTTCACGACCTTGGGACAGACAAAGCAATCTAAAGCACAATACAAAAAATGCAAACTGTGACTGGAAATGTTGATAAATTGAACTACACTAAGATTAAGAATATCTATTCATCAAAAGATGCCCGTAAGAAAGTTAAATGAAGCCAGAATTCTAAAAAATATTTTCAATATAGATGTCTGACAAAGGACTCATTCTGTATGAAGAATTAATTCCTACAAATAAATAAGAAAAAGGCAGACAACACAATAGAAAAATGGACAAAAGACCTGAGAAATCACTTCACAAAGGATACCCAAAATAACAATAAATATATAAAAACTTGTTCCACTGCCTTAGTAATCAGAAAAATGCAAATTAAAAGCCACATTGAGATCAAATTACTAATAAGCAAAAAAAAAAAAAAAATCTGAAATTAAGTCAAAGACAAGTAGATAAATTATGTGAGGTAACTAGATCACTCATACATTGTGCCAAACTAGAACAAACAGTTTGAGAGATTGACAGTATAAACCAACAGTATATATCTAGAAAAAAACGTGCTGTTTTGGAAACAGAAAAGCATAATTTGAAGTAAACCACTGGTCAAAGAAGAAATCATGAAGAAATTAGAAAATATTTTGAACTGGAGGTAATGAATATAGAACATACCAAAATTAGGAGGCAACTTGTGTTCAGATGGAAATTTACATACTTAAATGCTTACATTTGAAAAGAATCTGAAATCGGCAACCTGAGTTTACACTTTAAGAAACTTGTAAAAGATGAGCAAATTAAACCTCATATAAGTAAACAGCAATAAGAAACATAAGAATAGAAACCAATGAAATTAAAAAAAATAAAATTAAGAAAATTAACAAAGCAAAAAGTTGTACTCTGAAAAGATTAGTAATATTGACAAACCTTAGTGTCATTAAGAAGAAACAGGAGAAAACACAAATTCCTTGAAATAGTAACGAAGAGGAGGTATCACCACATGACCTTTAGTTATAAATAAGGTAATAAAGGCACATAATAACCTTATGTCAATAAATGCAATGACTTAAATGAAATGGACAAATTTGTTTAAAAATACAATTTAGCAAGTTTTTCCCAAGAAGATATAGAAACTGGATTGTACTATGTATCTATTAAAAATTGGGTTAATATTAAGAAAATAATCTTTCCACAAAGTCTCCAGACACAGATAGTTTCACTAGATAGTTTCATAAAACATTTAGGAAAGAAATTATATCTTGCACAAACTATTTTACAAAGTAGAGGAGGAGGAAGCATAAGACCATAGTAATTCTTCTACCAAAATCAGATGATAAAATTACAAGAAATGAAAATGGTAGAGCAATATCCCTCATGGATATACATAGAATATTTTTAAAAATTCTACTAACAAATTCAACAGTAATCAAATTCATATCAAGTGAATATGTAGTTTGATATCTTTTGTCAATATTGAAAAGTTCCTGGCTGGGCGTGGTGGCTCATGCCTGTAATCCCTGCATTTTTGGAAGCTGAGGTGGGTGGATCATGAGGTCAGGAGTTCGAGACCAGCCTGACCAACACGATGAAACCCCTGTCTCTATTAAACATACAAAAATTAGCAGGGTGTGGTGGTGTGGGCCTGTAATCTCAGCTACTCAGGAGGCCGAGGCGGGATAATTGCTTGAACCTGGGAGACAGAGGTTGCAATGAGCTGAGATGATGCCACTGCACTCCAGTTTGGGCAACAGAGTAAGACTCTGACTCAAACAAAAAAAAGTCCTCAGAATTTATTCTTTGACTTTGCTTTTGTTTTACATTCACTATCCAGTATCGGAAGGACCTGGGAAGGAGAGCAGCCACCCAGCAAAGCCAACTGAACTTTTAGATTACGGTGTGAGAAAGAAACTTTCATTGTGGTAAGCCAATGATAATTGAGGGTTATCACTGCAACTGACATCACTCAGTATGATAAATGGCTTTACCATTTTAAATGTACATATTTTATTATTATTATAGATAGAGTTTTGCTCTGTTGTCTTGGCTGGAGTGCAATGGCTTGATCTCTGTTCACTGCAACCTCCACCTCCCAGGTTCAAGCAATTCTCCTGCCTCAGCTTCCTGAGTAGGTGGGATTAGAAGCACCTGCCACCATGCCCAGCTAATTTTTGTATTTTTAGTAGAGACAGGGTTTTACCATGTTGTCCAGGTTGGTCTCGAACTCCTGATTTCACATGATCCACCCGCCTTGGCCTCCCAAGGTGGTGGGATTACAGGCATGAGCCACTGCGCCCAGCCACAAATGTTACAGTTTATTTTTCAGTGTTCTATTGTCTGAAAGTGTGAGGCACACATTTTCCTGTTTACTCTCCTATTGTCCCTTCATGACAATGTCCTAGGATGAGGTAGAGTTTGCTTCCTTGAATTGGTTATCTTTTTTATTTTGAACGTATTTTCCTGAATATAGTGATTTGGAGGCGCGTTTTGGAATCCCATGTGTGTAAAGTTACTAAATCTTCCTCCAGAGGAATTCTTGAATCCTAAACCATGTAATACACATTTGGACTCCACACCTAAGCCTGATGCACTTTTTGGTTTTTAAATGTGTAATTATCTTTTTCCCTCTATCCGGAGCTTAAGTAGAAAACATGTGTCCTTCCACTTCCCTCGCTAATGGTTGGTTTTCTGGTTTTTTTTTTTTTTTTTTTTTTTTTTTTTTTTTTTTTTTAACATTGGAGGGGAGATTACCAGTTTCTGGATTTATGCGAATATCTCCATTCCAGTTCCCCACCTCTCACAGGCCCCAAGCCCAAGGTCACCTTACCTCCTGAGAGTGTGTCACAATTTTCCTCTTGCCCTCAGAACCCATATTTTCGGTATGCCTAGGCATATATTCATATCCTGCTATGTTTATTCACTGTTTTCTTACATTGGGAACGGGAGTGAGGGTAGAACCTACATAGTCCAGTCATCTCTATTCTGAGAATGTCCTACTCTTTTCATTTCACAAATAAAAAACCTGATTCCCGCAGATGGGAGTCAATACAGCCAAACTCACAGACCTACTTCATGGTACAGGGGAGACTCCGGTTCACTTTCCACACTCCCCACAGTCGTCCGTCGTGAGCTGAGTCAGTGGATTGCGACTCTGAGTCCTCCAAGTGCTTGGCAGAGAAGAGAGGACAAACAAAGATTTACGAATTGCTTGTCCCACCTGAAAATGGTTTATTTCTAGGTTTCCGGTATCACGGGATGCCATGTAGGTAAGGAAGCAGTTCTGGTTTCAGGGATGTGATCCCAATGGCCATACTCAAGAAAAATAAATTCCCTTGCCTCATGGGCTCATGCTCTTCTAGAAGGGAAGGCAGGGCACTTTCAGCGCTGACGCTTGGCAGAGTGTTACAGTCCCATGATCAGTGGAGGGGATGCGCTAGTGAGAATCTTTTCACTGATGCTTCATGAGCTTTCTCTACTCTTTTACTGGGTTTTAGGTCCCTTCTTGTCATTCCCTCTTTACCAACAACCAGTCCCCTGCAGATAATTTCTTCACTAAGTGTCTGCTTTGTGCTGTCCAGGCTGCCGGAGGTGCTGGGGGCACTCAGGAACCAGATGAAGCTCAGGGCCCGCCCGTCTGCTCTGCAGGGACCCCGGCTTCCCTTTCTCCTGGTTGAACCACTGCTGTCCTTTGAGGTGAATCTAGTTCAGCTGTCACCTCCTCTATGATCCCTCCAAAAACTGCGAATCCTCCTTCCTCTAGGCCCTTACCGCAGTTACGAGAGCCTGTGCAGACATTTGTTTCAACACGTGTCCAAGAACAGGAATACCCCTGCTTTAATTTAAGACACTTCACGGCAAGGGCAACGCACTTCATTCTTCCAAGTCAAGGAACTGGGCTCAGTCTTCCATGCCTGCCACCGGGGTACAGTCAAGCTCAGTCACCTTGTGCCGAGCCTTTCCCTACTTCTTGGGAGTCTTAAAAGGATCCCCTGGTTTCAGGCGGTTGAAAAACGTGGGCGTGGGAGTCGGTCTGGCGGAGCTGGGACGCTGGGGAGGCGGGAAAGCGGGAGCGCCCCCTACGCGGACGCGGCGCGCCCACGGGGCCGAGCTCCCCCTCCCGGGAAGCCGCCCCTCGGAGCCGTCCTCCCGCCCTTCCCAGAAGCGCGGCTCCTCCGCAGCCGGAACCCTCCGCACTCCCCGGGCCTGTCCGAGCCTCTCCTTCGCGTTAACTATCCCAGTGCGCTCGCTCAAAAGGGCCGAGGTGAGAACCCCAAGTGCTGGAGTTAACTTTTCCATCCGTTTAATCTCCTTTAAAAAAGGACCAGCCACACGTTCGGGGACCGCCGGGAATCCCGCCACGCGCCGGCGGCCTCCCTCCTGCCCCACAGGGGGCCTCAGCGCTTCCCGCCCGGCCGAGGCCGGCTGCCGACCGGCGCCGGGCACACTGCGGAAAGCGGCAGGAGGGGGCTTCCTCGCGGCGGCCTCACGAGGAGGGGGTCCTGGGGGACGGGACCCCAGCATCCTCCCGGCTTTCTCCTGAGCGACGGCCCGGCGCAGCTTCTGGCTGAGAGCGGGAGCGGGGGGAGGCAGAGCCCGGCCTTGGGCAGCGACGGGCCTGACGGGAGGCGCGAGGCGGAGAGCGCGCTCGGTGAGACTGCGGGTGGAGGCGCCCGGAGCGTGCCCAGCCGCGGGTCCCGCCCGCTCGCACCCGGGCCTGCAGTTCCCCGGGCGGCCGCCGAGACGCCGGCCCGGGCGGGCGGCATGGGGGCGGGGCGGGGGCGGGGCTCGTCACGTGGAGAGGCGCGCGGGGGCGGGCCGGGCGGGGGCGCGCGCCCGGCTGCTTAAAGCGCGCGAGCGGGGCGGAGAGGCGGCTCCGTGGCCGCAGGCGCAGGCCCGGGCGGCAGCCGAGGCGTGGGGCGCGCCGGCTCCGGGACTCAACATGCGCTGCTCGCCGGGAGGCGTCTGGCTGGCGCTGGCCGCGTCGCTCCTGCACGGTAAAGCCGCGGTCTCCCCGCCCTCCACTCCTCCACGGGATCCCGGCACGTCCCGGGCGGTTCTGCGGCCCCGCGCCTGGGACAGGTTTGGGGTCTCTCCGCCTCGGCGAGGGCTGCGGGGGCGCAGCGGGGGTGGGCTTGTTTGGGCTGCACCGGGTCGGCGACGGGAACGCCGCCAGGGGGGGATGGGAGTACGCCCCTCGCCGGCCTGCCTGAGCCCCCTGCCCGGGTCTCCTCTCCTTAGTGTCCCTGCAAGGCGAGTTCCAGAGGAAGCTCTACAAGGAGCTGGTGAAGAACTACAACCCCTTGGAGAGGCCGGTGGCCAATGACTCGCAGCCGCTCACCGTCTACTTCTCCCTGAGCCTCCTGCAGATCATGGACGTGGTGAGTCCCCTCCCTGGGCTCCGAGGGGCGTTTTAGAAAGCGTCCGATGGCCGGCGGGGGAGCTCGGCTGGGACACCCTAACTGGCCCCAGGCGAGGCAGAGCCATGCTCTGAGCCTGTCCCCAGTCTGCCCTCTCCCGAGTGTCTCAGTCCTCGGTCTCCCCGCCCGCCAAGGAGGGACCTGGTGAAGCTTGTTCCATCACCCGGGCCACCTGTGTGTGGGTACTTGGGCCCCGCCTTTCCCTCGGTTTAGAAACTCAAGCGTCCTGAACTGGGACTCAGTAGCAAGAACACTAAAAAGTGACGTTCACTTTTTAGTCTCCCTTACGGTGTTAAGTGTTGACATGCAGTCCAGCATTGGGTGTCAATTTAGCCACTTCTAGACTTTTCTGCCGCCTATGGTATATAACTTCTTTGGTGGGGCCTGGCTCTGAGCTTTGCAGCTGGTGAATCTGTCCAGGCAGAGGGCAAGAGAGGCAGCTGTGAGCTTTCACTGTGCCCCCATCCTAGCAACGGGCATGCTTTGCCTTCCTGGTGAGGACAGGTACCTGGAGTCCTGCTCTGAGGTCTCTGGGCTCCCCACCAGGAATACACGTGTCTGTCCCTCCAGCTCCATGGGCCTCTTGCCTTGCAGCCTTTAGTGCCCATTTCAGTTGGCCAATCTGTGTAAACTTGCCTTTTGCTCCTCTATGGTGCTTTGGTTATTCAATATTCATTGGTATATTCTCCATACGATACAAATACTTCACGCAAGTGTTTAATTCATTATAAATAGGTTTGGTGTCTTGTCTATACAGAGTATTGGAGTCTATCGTGGAGTACCCTGGAGTGGGGCAGGGTGGGCACAGGGCTGATGATGTTCATTGGGAGGGAGAGCATGGTATGAAAGAGGTGAGAGAATAGCCACAATTCCTGGTTAAAAAAGAAATGGTGCTAAGAGCCACCTGGCAAAGTAGAATAAGATAAGAGGTGATATTTCATACTCCTACAAATAAAGTTACCCTTACTATCATGTTGATGAATGGTGTATCACTTAACCTTGTTAAAATTGCTGTAGTATGTTGCTTCCCTTCCAATACTGCACTCACCTTAAATGTGTACTTCCTCCTACAGGCAGAATCATGCTTTAAAATATTGAATGTGTATGCAATGATGAGGAAAAGTTATTATGAGAGAAGAGCTGTAGGGGAAGGGAGGTGCAGTTTCATGGGTTGCAAAACAGCAAAAGTTGCTGTTTATGGAGCAGCTCCTCACTTCCTTTAAGGAGCTCAGGATTTGTATTTGGGATCCTCGGTGGGTTCTGGCTGTGTTGGTTTCTGGGTGGCTAGTGTTAGGGAAGTTTCTTAAGCATCTTGAGCCTTGGCTTTCTTGTTAATAAAATGGACACTGTAGTACCCTATCAGTCACTGTGATCAACTAAAGAATATGTAAAGAAGTTGAAGGGACCTTAAAGCTAGATATGTGATTATGGTCATTTTCATGAAGAAACCACGTGAAAAAGGACCAGGCAGCAGAGCTGACACACTCCGCAAGTGGTGTATGACAGGGTGAGAAAGGGACTGTACCTGCCTCTTCCCCCATTTGCCCAGGGTTAGCTCCAGCCAGGCTGCCTCACTGTTTGTGGCTGCTCCACAGCTGCCTCCCTTGGAGTGGGTATCCCTGTGTGGCCTGGATGGGGGTGATGATGCAGTAGCCCCTCAGTAGAGGAACAGGAGGAAGCAGTTGAGCAGACTTCTGAGGTTGTTAAGGCTGCGGCAGCCCCTTTTAGAGAAGGGACCACTCACGGAGAAACTGCAGGCTTTTTTCTGGGCATGTCTGCTTCTTTAAGAGACTCTTAGGAAACCAAGTTATTATGAGAAGCGTTGAGTCTTAGGAGAAGTTTAGGCATAAGTTAGTGTTACACCACGTGAACATTTAAAAATAACAACTTTTGTCGTGTTAGAAAATTACAAAAATAGCAAATTGGAACTTTGTGTCAATGATATTCCAGTGTCCTTAGGAAATGCATGTGAAGAAGGCTGTCGGCAGCCAGAGGTCATGGGAAGGGGGCGGGAGAAAGTTTCTCTCCCACCTTGGCCATAGGGTGGGCTGTGAATACATTGAATTTCCCAGCCAGTCAATGCTGTGTGTTCAGGGAGTGGCCTTGAACAAACCACCTTACCTTTCCAAGGCCTGTTTTCTCATGTGTTAAATGAGGATAGTAATACCTGCTTCAGAGACTTTTGGAAGGATTAAATAAGATAAAGTGCTTGCTGTACACTGGTGATTCACTGAAGGTCTGCTCCATCTTAATTATGTGACTGCTCAACTCAGAGGTCAATAAGTTCATGCCTAGAAAGGTGTGGTCAGTTGCCCAAGGTCACTCTGTGATTAGAGAGAGGGCTTTGAGGAAAACCAACATTGGACAAGTCCTTTGTCTTTCATCTGCTGCTTCCTTTAGACTTGGTAACTTCTGCAGAACACAGTCATTTAATTTATTTAAACTGGATGAATTGTAACTAATTTAATGTGACTTTCCTGAGATCCTGGATGAAGTTGAAGTCTATCAGACATAACGAAATAGGCAAACATTTGTATTCCAGCCTTACTTGGCTCTGCCGGGTTTTTGAAGTGGAGCCAGGTCTTTCCAGCTGAAATCTCAGCACTCTGGACAGAGACACAATGGTTCTCGTAAAGGCTTCCTATGGCAAAATGTCGCCTGGTGTAGATTCTCTTTATACATTTGTTGCCCGTTTTAACTGGGCTTGTCTAGAAACCACAATAATTGGTTTTCCTCCTCCCAAATATTGTTACTGATTCCTTTTTTGTCCGCATAGATTCCTGACTGGAGTGATAGGGAGACAGCATATGATGTTACATGTTTTATTTTTGTGAAAGGTCATTTACTCTTTCATCAATTTATTCCACACATGCTATTGAGCTCCTACTGTGGACTTTGACAAATGCTGAGAATTAACAGATGAATGAGGGATTATTTTTTCTTTCAGAGATCTCATGATCTGGCTAGGGAGATTAGCAGGTAAATCCAAAATTACTACATGTGATGAAATTTAACATAAATATCTACACAAAGTGCTAGAAAACATTGTTCCCAATTAGGGCAGCTGAGAATGGCTTTAAAGAGACAGTGGTTAGAGTTCTAAAAATGGGAAGGAGTTTGCCACTGAAAGTAGGAAATCCTTTCCAGGTAATGGGAACAGGCTGAGGAGAGACTGAAGTGCAGTGGAGGACAGCTCACCTTCAACAGGGTGTGTTTTGTGGGCTACTGGCAACCTGTGGATCTTCACTACAGGCTGCAAGACTTCTCAGAAAATTTAATGTGTTGTGTTTTTTGAGACATTCTAAAAGACCAATGTAGTACTGACCAAACTACTGATAGTTTTACAGACCCTTTGGTAAGAATGATGCTTTAGAAGCACACCTTACAACGGGGAGGCTATGATTTTTTTCTTTGGTAGGAGGTGCAGAATGAGTCTGGGGAACAGTAGGTTGCAGTGTGTGAAGTGTCCTGAGTTCCTCCACAAGTTTACATTTCACCTGGCCCTAGTCTGGGCATCTCTGAGGACATTAGGAGGCAGTGTGCCAGGGGTTTTGGAAGCTGTAAGGCCAGCTTGCCATGCATATTTTCCTAGAAATGGAAACGGTCCAAACCATGATATTTGTATTAAATTCAAGTATAAATTATAGATTGGAATGAAAAAACTTTGCATACATATTAGAGGCACAACGTGAGCCTGCAAAGGAATTGCTTGACCTGCTGTGGTCTGTTCTAGTTATTCAGCAGGCCCCTTTGCAAAGCAGTAGGCAGAGAGGGAAGGTACGGTGGAGTTTTAAACGGGAGGGAAGTAACCAGATCTCTGTTTAAGCAGAAGATGCTGAGAGCAGTGTGTGTGAGATGGGTTAGAGAGCGGGAGAGAAAGGGAAGGGACAAGGAAGTTGGAACTAGGATGGCCACTGTGGGGTTGAGGAGAAGGGGGCAGATTTAAGAGATGTTTTTGATGCACCGTCTATGATGTATAACTGTGTATATAAACATCATGAATCAATGAATTTGCTAAATGGAAGTGCCTAAATTGTTCTTAAATGCATACTCTGACTTCTGGTGATTATTAATTTACTTCCTGGGCTTGTAACTGGGCTGGGAATGAGATAATATGTAAGAAATCATTTTGAAGTGATGCATATGTAAGGTTGTAATCTGCCAAGTTTCCATAATTTTTCTCCTTTATTTGTGCTTTTTGGTCAGTCACCTGAGCACATGCATCTAAAGGCCATTCTAAGTGTGAATTTGCATAAAATAAATATGCATTGGTTATAAAGCATGTCTAGAAGTCAAGGTTTTTAAAATAAATAATATGAACCAACATGTAATTTTATATAAATGTAAAACACATAATTATACAAAATTGATTCTTTTGGTATCTTATTGCTTTGAAATACAAATTCAGCATTTTGAAAGCTTTAGCCACAAGACAGCAGAACTAAGTGGTCATGCATTTAGGCTTTGCTACTGAAGATGGCAGGCAGGGCTGTGGAGCCCAGTGTCCTAAGGGCTTATGTGTTATCCAGATTCCTTTGGGTAGCCCTCTGCTTAGGTTAGCAAAATTTGTGATTTCACATTCATTAACCACTATTTAAAATGCTACAACTCCAACAAAATATTATCAAATATTATAAAACTCTAATTAGGTATTGGCCTTTATAATTTAAAAACAAATATTTACTTTTTTGAGCAGTTTTAGCTTCACAGCAAAAGTAAGATGAAGGTGTTGGGGTTCAGGGGAGCTGTTGGCTTCCCTGACAGGACATTTCTCTAGGTTCGTGGTCTGTCACTCTCTCAAGAATGAGAGAGGAGACCACGGCACAGTGTGCTCGTGAAATAGATGCCAGACCCCAAAAGTGTTGCAGAAAAGTGATTTATTTAGGCAGAGAGAGAAAAAGGAGAAGGAGAAAGAAACAGCTGGCTCTCAGACTGAATGAGAGAAAGAAAAGCCACTCTCA